TGCAACAGCTCTCCTCCCATTTCCTCCCCATAGTTACCTCTTCCATGTGTCTTTCCCTCCATGTACTCCTGTCCCCTGATCTTTCTCCGTGTGCATACACAGCCATTCTGTTCTCCCAAGATTATTCTCTCCATGGAGTGTATCTACCTAATGCAAATGTTAAGCTCACATGCCTGTCTTTTGTTTGGCTGGAAGCCACAGGAGTGGGTACAATTCCAGACCTGAAAGGCAGCTAAGGGCCATAGTCTCAGTGGTTCCATCAGGCATTATCAGACCAGCAAACCTGGTCCTTTTTTTTTTTTAATGAGTTTGAGTTTTTTTCCACACTGTTCCCCCACTCTATCCAGGATCTCCTACATAGAGCCCCCTCTGAGTGGAAAATTAAGCTTTAATTTCTAAAATGAGTCACTTCACATAACATAGAATAAATTTTTTTCTCACCTCTGAATGTGGAACATCACTCTTCATCACATTTTCTGTATTCATTCTCATTTCCTATAATATATAAAAATGAAGGAAATACTTTTAACATAATCTTAATTTTGTTTCCATATTTAACTTACAGGCATTCATATTTTTTAGATAATCTGTGATCAATTTAAAAGAAAAAATGCTGTCTTCTTTAAGGAGTGATTGGAACACACTTAATGCAAAACTGTAATCCCCATCTCATCAAGTATTCTATCCTAAGAGATGACGGCTGTCAGATAAGCATCTGGGCTCTGGTCTCAATACAAGAAAGTAAGTGACAAGGCTCTTCTTGTCCCAATGCAATGATTCCTTAGAGTAGTCATTGGTAATTCTTAATGAAAATTACACTATTAATTTTAGGGATCAACTGGCTATATACCATTCATATTAACATTTTCATCTAGAAAAAAGAAAATTTTTAATTCCTATAATTTATTTTCCCTCAGGAGGAGGACTGGGCAATCTACTTTCACAGAGATACCATCTCAGAAACCCAAGGAGGGGTCACTATGAATCGGAATTGACTCAATTATTTTCAGCATCATTATAAACAGAGAAAAGACTGAAGCTGTCAGGGATTTAAATTTATTTGAATCCATTGTCCACATCCCTACAAGCAGCACAACACTAATTGTGGTGTTGGTGCTTGTTGCTGTTGTTAGGTGCTACTGAGTTGACTCCAACTCATAGCAACCCTATGCACAACAGAACAAAACACTGCCTGGTCTGGTGCCAACCTCACAATCCCTGCCATATCTGAGCCCACTGTTGATGTCACTATATCAATCCATCTCATTGAGGGCCTTCTTTTTTGCTTACCTTCCATTTTACCAAGCATGATATCCTTCTCTAGGGAATGGTCCCTTCTGACAACATGACCAAAGTAGGTGAGACCAAGTGTGGCCATTCTCATTTTCAAGGAGCATTTTGGCTGTACTTATTCCAGGACAACAACAACAACATTCCAGGACAGTTTTGCTAGTTCTTCTGGCAGTCCATGACACCTTCAGTATTCTTTGCCAATACTACAACTCAAAGGCATCAACTCTTCTTTGGTCTTCCTTCATTGTCCAGCTTTCCCATGTACATGAGGCAATTGAAAACACCATGGCTTGGGTTAGGTACACCATAGTCTTCAAGAAGACATCTTTGCTCTTTAGCACTTCAGCTAATTTCTGACTGCTGCTTCCATTGGCATTGATTGTAGAACCAAGCAATGTGAACTCTTTAATAACTTCAATCTTTTCTCCATTTATCATGCTCCTGCTTATTGGCCTAGTTGTGAGGATTTTTGTTTTCTTTATATTGAGGTGTAATCCACACTGCATACTGCAGTCTTTAACCTTCATCAGTAAGTGCTCCAAGTCATCTTCACTTTCAGCAAGCAAGGCTGTGTCGTCTACATATTGCAGGTTGATAATGAGTCTTCCTCCAATCCTAATGCCATGTTCTTCTTCATATGGATTATTCTTTCAGCATACAGATTGAATAAGCATGGTGAAAGGATATAACTCTGATACACTCCCTTCCTGATTTTAAGCCATGCAGTATTCCCTTGTTCTCTTCAAATGCCTGCCTCCTGTTCTATGCACATATTCTTCATTAGTATAATCAAATATTCTGGAATTGCCACTCTTCTCAATGTTATCCATAATTTGTTACGATCCACACAGTTGAATGCTTTTGCATAGTGAATAAAACACAAGTCAACATCTTTCTGGTATTCTTTGCTTTCAGCCAAGATCCATCTGACATCAACAATGATATCTCTCATTCCACATCTTATTTGGAATCCAGTTTTCATTTCTGGAAGTTCCATGTCAATATATTGTTGCAACCATTTTTTAATTATCTTCAGCAAAATTTTACTTATGTGTGATATTAATGATATTGCTTAATAATTTCCACATTCTGCTATTCATAAAGTTTTTGCTGGCCAATTCTTTGAGAAGAGGATGGCCCATTCCTTCTTCCAAGTGTGTCTTAGTCTGGGAACTCAGCTGAAACCTGTCCACTATGGGTGACCCTGCTGGTATTTGAAACACTTGTGACATAGCCTCCAGCCTCACAGCAACATGCAAGCCACCACAGTATGACAAACTGACAGCTGTGTGTTGGGGTTTGGGGGAGAATACTGAAAATAACATGAACTGCCTGAAGAATGAACAAATCTGTCCTAGAAGAAGTGTAGCCAAAATACACCCTGGAAACAAGAATGGTCAAACTTTGTGTCACCTACTTTGGTCATGTTGTCAGAAGGGATCATTCCTTGGAGAAGGATATCATGCTTGGTAAAGTAGAGGGTCAGCAAAGAAGGGGAAGGCATTCAATGAGATGGACTGACACAGTAGCTGGAATGGTGGACTCAGGCATAACAAGGATTGTGAGGTACAGGACCAAGCAGTGTTTCATTCTGTTGTACTTAAACCAAAAAGTTGGAGATAACTTGACAACACCTAACAGCAGCATAATTTATTTTGCCTTATTTTTTTGTTTCAAACATATTTTGCCTACACACAGAGTTTATGATGTACCCTAGCATGTAGCATATTTGTTAAATCCTATTTACCAGATACATTTATTTAAATTCTTTCTCAGTGAATGTATATAATGATGTAGAAACATTAATTTGAATTACCAATCTGTAGAAGTCCCTATGAGGGACTTGGCTTATTCTGCTGAGAAGGTGCTTTAATAAGCCTGCTTGGAGTGGGAGTTGACCTACCTTGGAGATAGAAGAGGACCAAGGAAATATTCAATAAGGGGGAAAAAAAATTCAAGGGGACATTTTCTAGAGAAATGCTGGGAGCTATGGAATCAGATCCCTCTGAAGAAAAATCTTCAGCAAAGAGTACAAGAAAATAAAAATGCTTAGTATGTAAATCAGGGATCTTCAAGATCACTCTCAGGTTTAAGAACTCATAGAACTCAGCCAAAAAAAAAAACAACTCAGTGCCGTGGAGTCAGATCTGACTCATACTCACAGCTATAATTTATTACAGTGAAAGGATAAATGCTAAGGCAATATTAACCAAAAAACTCACTGCCATCAAGTTGATTCTGACTCATAGCAACCCCTCCTTGGGTTTCCGAGGTGGTATCTCTACGGAAGTAGATTGCCCAGTCTTCCTTCTGAGGAGTGGCTGGTTAGCAAAGGGAACTAAGGCAAAGTCCAGAGGAAACCAGGTACAAGCTTCTAAGAGTCTTAGCCCAGTGGAGTCACACAGGATGTGTTTAATTCCTTCAGCACTGAATCAAGACAATACATGCAAAGTGTTTACCAGAAAAACACAAAAAAGACTCAGTACCCAGGGTTTTTGTTGGAGGCTGGTCATGCAGGCACTGTCTGGATAGCATGAACCAAAATCCCAGACTCCCAGAATGAAAGGAGGTGTGTAGCATAAACCATGTGTTTGCACAAATCATTTAGGCACAGTGAGCCACTCCTCAGTTAGGGAGTGGTAGAACTCCTTCCAAAACCCCAATTCTTAGATGCTAGCCAAGAGCTAACTTTGGAAGCAGGCAGTTTCTAAGGCGAGTAGTCTCAGGTCTGCTCTGTAAACTGTTTTCCGCACAGAAAGACATTTATTACAGAAATTATTGAAGGAACTGTGAGCAACACGCTACTTAATGCAAGGCCCAAACAGAGTTGATTACTGTGTTACATAAGAATCAGTTTTTCCTTAACCCATTTGATTTTGGGCCCAGAGCCGAACACATACAATCTTTATGGACTCTACATACTGCATCAAGTCAGTTTCAACTAGTAGATAAAAGGTAGTTTCAATTCCCTTATTATTTTGTTCACTGTCTTCTTGATGGATTGTGGTTTTTTCCCCTTTCGTTTTAGATTGTTGTTGTTGTTGTTTGTTGTTGTTATGTGCCGTCGAGTCGGCCCCGACTCATAGCGACCCCTCCTTGGGTTTTCAAGGCAGTATCACTACGGAAGTAGGATTGCCCAACCTTCCTTCCGAGGAGTGGCTGGTGGGTTTGAACCGCCAGCCGTCTGGTTAGCAGGCAAGTGACTTAGCCACTATGCTACCAGAGCTCCTTCGTTTTAGATTACTGATTGTTAATTAATGAGAAGTGGGTATGTACTTATCTGAAGGTGTACGTGTGTATATGCATGTGCCCTATTACTCTCAGACCAAGGTAACATTAGTATCTGTACTTTGTTAACTACGTAGACAAAAAAAAAAAAAAAAAAAACCAAACTCACTGCCATCAAGTCATTTCTGACTCATAATGACTCCTACTTAGGTTTCCGAGGTGGTATCTCTATGGAAATAGATTGCCTAATCTTCCTTCCAACAAGTGGCTGGTGGGTTTGTATCACCAGCCTTCTGCTTAGCCATCAAATGCCTTAGGCACTATACCACCAGAGCTAAAATCTCATCTTGTTTAATTCAATTCACCTTTCCAACTTTTAAAAATTACTATGTACATCAAAAAAAAACAAACTCCCTGCCATGGAGTATGAAATAATTTAGTTGAAAAGTATAACTCAGTCATTCAGAAGTTTAGTATATATGACACATAACTTTTTGGATACCAGGAAATGCTGGTCAGACTAGAGGCTTGACATTATATAGACATAGTCAATGGAGATAAGATTTTTAAAAACAGATTACTGCATAGTTAATTTTAATTAAAGACATAAAAATCCATATTAAAACATATTTTACAGTTATTTTGATACATGTAACATAAAAAAGAGTGATGTATTACTGTCTAGAGATCAGAATACCCTCAATATTACAGAGAAATTAACCTGAAAAATCAGCTACTGAAATCAGGACAAATAGCCCTTTATTAAAGTGCTCATAATTTCATTATTAGAGAACTACACTGCTCACAAAGCAGTTTCACATACATGATCTTATTTGATCCTCATAGCAACCAATGAGATATTGCTAATAATATACTGCTACGCCTACTTTTCAAACAAGTAAACTGAGACTAAAAAAGGCTTAAGTCACACAGCTAAAGTATGCAGCAGATCCTTAGAATCGATTCCATGATCTTTCTGCTATGCAGCTGGGAGAAAGAGTCTGAGGGCTCTAAAAAGTTTTTAATAAGACATATATTTATACAACTTTAAATTACCTTCTCTAATTGTTCTTGAGCTTTCTGTAGTTCTTCTATTCTCTGTCTCTCTTTTTCTTGCATTTCCATCTCTAGCTGTAACTCCAGCTGTTGCTAAGTATTTAGAAACATATGTTTTATGAGAGTCAGATAAATCCTAATGAGTTGATTCTATCACTCTGAAACATTCCAGGATAATCAAATTTATGTTGTTGTCGGATAACAATTAGTCATTTCAACTCCTAGCCACCCCATATAACAGAATAGAACTGTGCCAGTGGGTTTTCTGGGCTGTAATCTTATGGGCGCATAAGAACAACAACAATCTTATGGGAACAGATTCTACTGCAGAACCACTGGGTGGTTTGAACTGCCAACATTTCAGTTAGTAGCCAATCACTTTACTGTTTGCACCACTAAAGTTTATAGTCACACAAAATTCAGAAATGTACAAAAAGAAATGGTCACAGCCACCTAATAATTAACTTCTACAAATATTTCTTGAAGTATAAATGGAAAAAAAAGGATGCTTTCTTAGTTGCTAATTGTAGAAAAGCATTGTTGTTGTTGTTGTTATGTGCCGTCGAGTCATCCCTGACTCATAGTGACCCCTCCTTGGGTTTCTGAGGCAGTATCACTACGGAAGTAGGATTGCCCAACCTTCCTTCCGAGGAGTGGCTGATGGGTTTGAACCGCCAGCCATCTGGTGAGCAGTCAAGTGCCTTAGCCACTATGCTACCAGAAAAGCATTAACTGTGTAAAATGAAGTCATTTTCGTCCTTCTAGAGGTTCCAAATAGAACAGCAGTAATTTCTTCAGATAAAACCACTTTAAGCACAGATAGGTCTTATATAGCCAAATCTTGGTGAAAGAACAGTGTATGAGAAAATATATTATCTAAAACTATACATATGTAATAGTTCTAACCCAGCATATATGTCTCACTACAATAGGGATCAACAAACTAAGACCACAGGCCAACTCTGGCCCACCTCCTGCCTGTTTTTCTATAGCCTATTAGCTAAGAATAGTTTTTCATTTTTAAATAATCAAAAAATAATCAAAAGAATAACAATACTTCATGTTACAGGAAAATTATATGAAAGTCTTATTTCAGTATCTATAAATAAACTTTTAATGAAACACAGCCATGTTCATTCATTTACATTTTGTCTATGACTGCTTTCATGCTACAATAGTTTAATAGCTGCAACAGAGACCAAATGTGGTATCTTATTACTTTGAACTGTCAGCACACTACCAATCACAGTGACATGGTTAAAATTCAATAGTGTTTGATGTGCCACAGGCATCATCACCCCAGAACATTTTTTTTTAATTATTATTATCAGTGCATGTTCACCATTCAAGCAAGAAGGGGGCTTTAAATGTCATGCTTTTAAGATGCAGTGGAGTGTGGGTTATTTTGCTATCAAATTCAATGGCAAAGTATGGTATTTATTATGCAATGGCACTGTACAATACAATAAATATCAACATTACCAAAGTAAGCACCCATGACAATATTCCAACATACAGGAAAGCAACAGTCAGAAAATTAGAAAACATAAAACAGTATGTCTCATCACACCAGAATTTCTTCAGAAAAATAAAAAAGAAAATGAGGCTGCAACAAAGGTATGTTTACAACTGACGCATTTCTTAGCCAAGCAAGGAAAGCCATTTACCAAGAGTGAGGTAATTAAAAATGTTTTGAGAAGTAAATGTGTTTAAGGTGACTAACTTTTTGGTGAGTAATGCTGAAGTCAATCACATTTACAGCCAAATCAACAGTCAATTAAAAAGCAAGCAAATGACTTTGAGTGATTTTCTTTGGCCACTGATGAGCCAACAGTTGTTACAAATACTGCTTAGTTGTTTACTCAAGAAGTCAATGTTAACTTTGAAGTGACTAAAGAATTAGCTTCTATGAATAGTCTTCATGGAACAAAAACAACAGGAAGAATATTTTCAATGTTGAGAAGCAGTGATTTAGTATAACCTGAAATGAAATTGCTAAGACATGTTACAACTGATGTGGTAAAAATATGTGTAAAATACAAATAGTCTTAGCTGGACACATTTACAAAGCTTGAAGAGTGATTAAAGTCTGTCTATAATCATTCTATCATTCAACAGCAGCTATTGTATAGAAAATATTTTAATCTTTCTTAATAAATATTCTTAATAAATACTAGGTTATTAAGCCAGTAGGGTCAACAATGACCTTGTTGATTTACCCTTCATCAGTTCCATGAAATTTTATCATAATAAAAGCTAACAACTATAATCTGACTTGCCCCACCACACAACAGTTCCATGGCTTAACAGTAATGATGTATTATTGTAAATTTGTGGGCCAAGACACAAATTTTTCTGAATGAGAAGAACTACATTCAATCACTATTATTGAACATTAAATGGTTTTGAAATTTAGCTTTTGCTGTAGGGCTGATGTTCTTAATCAAATGAACCCAAATTTATAAGGCAAAATATTGCTTATGTGTGAACTTATACTGTAGTAAAATCATTTCAACAACAACTAATGTTTGAATCACAAATAATGTTAAGCTGCTTTACATACACTTCATGTACTGTCAGAAGTTAAAACTAGATCTTCACTCCACATAAATTTGCAGTGGACATATTTCCTGAACTCAAATTTCAGTTGCACAATGTCTTCAGACCTTAATGTAAGTGCAAAGGAAATTTCCATATTTTAGTATCTACTTAACTGTGCAACTAAGAAGCTTCCATCACATTCAACTGGTAATTAATCTACAAATGGCACGCTAAAAGACAAATA